GTGTGTGGGGGTGTGTGGGAGTGTGGGGGTGGTGTGGGGGGATGTGTGGGGGTGTGTGGGGGCTGTGGAGGTGGTGTAGGTGTGTGTGGGGGGGCAGTGGGTGGATTGGCCAAGGGGCACAATGTGGGGCCTGTCTCCCAGCCCCATGGGCCTCACCCTGAGCTCAGCCCGTTCCCTCGCTGCAGGTCTGCGGGTTGACGAGAACCTCCAGTCGATGCTGGTGGGATCAATGATGAGGAAAGTCAAATCCAGGAGCTGGAAGCGGCAGCGATATTTCAAACTGCAGGACGACTGCATGAGCATCTGGTACAAATCGAAGAAAACTGGGAACCCCAAGTCTACATGTAAGTAGGGGCTGGCAGGTGCCTGGGGTGGGGGGTGCGCAGAGAGAGAGAGGAACAGGGATGGAGGTGCAGGCTGGAGAGGGAGAAGGGGAGAGAAATAGAGGGAACAAAAAGAGAAGGAGAATGGGGCAGGGGGATGGAGAGAGAGGGAAACAGGGGAGAGAAGAGTAAGGAGAGGGGAGAATGAAAGAGAGACAAAGAGAGATGGGACCAAGGACGAGGGTAGACTGTAGGATGGACAGAGAGAGGTGGAGAGATAGAGAGAGAGAGAGAAGGAGCTCAGAGGGGAAGGAGAGGGAGAGAATGGGAAGAGAGAGAAAGCAAGGGAGGGGAAAGAGAGACAGGAGACACAAAGTACACGTGATGCAGAGAGAGAGAGAGCTGGTGAGTGTTGGAAGGAGACAGCAGAAGACAGAAAGAGAGGAGAAGAGGGGAGAGAGAGTGTGAGGGGAAAAGTGGGAAGAGAGAAGAGGGAAGAGATGAGGAGAGAAAAGGATTGATTGTTTTTATTGTCACGGGTACCGAAGTACAGTGAAAAGCTTTGTTTGTGAGAAGTACAGGCAGATCATAGAGCGATAAAATCTTGGACAGAGTGAGGCATACAGGTTACACTGCACAGGATGTGACAGTGAGGAAGTGGGGAGACAGTGAGGGGGGGAGACAGTGAGAGGGGGAGACAGTGAGGGGGGGAAGACAGTGATGGGGGGAGACAGTGAGGGGGGGAGACAGTGAGGGGGGAGACAGTGAGGGGGAGACAGTGATGGGGGAGACAGTGAGGGGGGAAGACAGTGAGGGGGGAGACAGTGACCGGGGGGAGACAGTGAGTGGGGAGACAGTGAGAGAGGGGGTAGACAGAGAGAGAGGGAAAATAGTGAGGGAGGGGGAGATACTGAGGGCATGGGGAGATAGAGAGAGATGGGGGAGACAGTGAGGGAGGGGTGAGACAGTAAGGGCAGGGGGAGACAGTGAGAGAGGGGGAGACAGGGAGGGGGGAGACAGTAAGGGCAGGGGGAGACAGAGAGAGGGGGGGAGACAGTAAGGGCAGGGGGAGACAGTCAGGGAGAG